CATTCTTCAAGTTTTACTTAATTCAGGTAATATTTCTGCTGTATTTGGTATTTCAGTTTCATAGGTTGACTAAATTACATTGAGATAGCTCTGGTGCAATTAATGGAAGGAATGTCAAATAGAATGGGGGAAGTTGCTCCCTTACTATGTCGTAAAAATTAGTTAAGAAATTGACTTAAAGTATGTACTTTTCATGTGCATCTATAGCTAGATGGTAGAGTCAGATATGCTCAATGCAGAAAAGTTGAAAAACAAGAAGCACAAAGGTAAAATAATATCGTCAAGTTGGTGGAATCTTAACTGGGGTCACTGCATTCCAATAAAAACGTGCTAACTGCAAATCTTGGGAAGCATGTCTACTCTCCATTCTGAAACTAACCAAACACCTAAATGTAGACAAGTAACTTTGCTTTCTGTATCCTAATGTCCTATTTCCTTTACGTTCTGAATGTGGCGTGAATGGTGAGAGATGGTGGAGGATATATAATAAATAGATTTAGTTAATCTTTATGCATTCAGAACATTTTATAATTTTTTACTTTTTTAATGATAGAGCCAGGTGTTCTAGATGTAATTAAATAATACTTTATAAAATAAAAAATCTAAATGAGAACAAGAGTCTAAAAATTTGTCTTGCAAATGGGAGAAATGCCAACTGTTTCTCGTTGCTATTGGTGGCTATATTTAAATTATTTGACTGCTAGAGGAGTGAGTATCAATACAGAGCTATGTGTTTAATGCTAGGTCCCCCTTACGGGTGCTGTGGGAGATGCTTAAATAAATGGTCACTTGGTGGCATTATTCCTTAAATTATTTATTTATTTGTGTTTATTTATTCTTTGCAATCAGGCCAGAGCTTCAAACTTATCTTTGATAATTCGGATCCGTGAGATCTTGTGTAAATTACATTGAACCTCGTTTTCCTATCTATTAAAAATCTTTTTGAGGCCAAATTAAAGCAATTATAATAACAAAAACGATTGCAATAACATAAGCTGGGTGCTAGAGGATAAGCAGGAGTTCCACAGATAAAGAGTAGGCATAAGAACCCTTTTACAAGGTTGAAAAAGAGACATTGTTCCTGCCTTCAGTGAGCTTGCAGTGTGCTAATATCTTATTTGCAGTTGTGCCACAGGATGTTGGACAGCACCTGGTACAGAGGGTGTATAAAATAATAATTTGATAAATGAAAAAGCAAGAATAAGTTCTATACTATGAGTACACAGGGTAGTTTGAGAACCCAGAGAAGAGACTATCAAAGTGGATATTTATGGATAGCTTCCTAGAATGACTGTAACTAACCAGACTAGGATTGGGTGGGGTAAACACCTCCTGATAGAGATAACAGCCTAAAAAAAGCTGGGAAGAGGAAAGCAGCTTTAGGTGTCTGGGAATTACTTTGGTCTGAAGAAGGGATGCTTGTGGGGTGGAGTGGGAAAGACCGTGGGGTCAACTGGGGATAAAATCTTAAAGGGCTTTGTGCATTAAGTTCAAGAGTGCAAATCCTTTTTCCTAAAATATTTAAGTAGAGCAGTGCTTAGGTTTTGAATGCTTACTCTGGAAGATGGTGGTAAAAACTGGGGCAATGACTCAGAGTTGGGATAATATATCATTTGCAGACATTCAAGCTCTGTGGATAAGCGAGACACATATTAGCGAGTAGGTTTGGAAAATCCACGGAATCGGATCATGAAGAATATGATGTCATCTACTGAATTTGCAGCCCAGGGCAAATAAAAAAATTAAGCAAATGATATCATACTTGTCTTTAAAAAATAACTGGCAGCTAAATGAAAGAAAAACTAGGAAAGATAGTCTAGGACTAAGTAAAGAAGCAATTTTCTTACTTGAGTCTCTAAGAAACAGACTAGGATAAAACAAAAGACAGATACGGTTTTCTTGCCTCTAGTTTCTGGGAAACTTTTGGAACAGAGCTTAATCTATTGAGATATCATGTGCTTTCACCAGTACCTCTAGATGATGGGTTTGTTTTAATAAAACATACATACACACACATACAAATCCCATGTAGGACATAGGAAAGAACAAAGAATCTCAGCAGTCTTTCATTTCTAACAAGCTTACTTATACTTAATATGCAATTGTTAAAGATAGTGGCAGAGATAACCAGAGAAATTTCAAGAATCAGGGAGATGCATGCCCATTCAATTAGATATCAGGCATAGCTCATACTATTCAGGTGTGTTAGCCCCCAATGGGCCCGCTTGAGTATTAAGGGAAAGAATTCCTACTTCTTTTGGTCTGGTTGGAGGTGAGATGTCGGCACCCTGCAATAGCTCCAAAAGCTAAGATCAGAGGAGCATACATTACATCAGTATATTTTCATTTTATCAGGATAGAATGATGAAAAAGATTGAGTGATAGTAAATTGAAGAAGAAAAGTTTAACTTACAGATAACGGCAAGGCAATTTGAAATAATGCCAGAGAGTATTCTCAACCTATTTGCAATCTTACTCACAAAAGAAATTGCCTATTATATTTTTTAAGTACACAAAAATCTGCTTTCTGTATTTCAGCCAAAGAATTTAAAAACTATAGGAAGCCGATATTTCGGTGTCATTCCTTACTTTGTTCCTTGGTTTAAAAGATTGTCAGTTTCAAAGAATCTAAAGAATACCTATATTTAAACTCAGTTTCTCCAGGGAGTTAACCTTGTTTAAATAAGGGAGGTCCTTGACTTTTACAAAAGTGTATATTTGTAAATTCATGACCCAGTTTCATGCATCACATGTTGATGTCTGCTAAATTTCATTCTTTTCTTTTTCATAAAGATGGGTTGGACTTCATACCTTCTGCTTTTATATTCTGCATTGTGACTACAGAATATTTTAAATATTCTGGAATATTTGTAACCACCCAATCACAAATAAGAATTGCTTTTGTAGACATCAGTTTTTACTAATACTGTTAAATTACCCTTGATGAGTTGGTTTAGGTATAGCAGTTCCCCATTAATTATAAATTATCAGTGAAATATTTTCTTAGTTTAATTTTTTTAGAATATTTATTGCTCTTATATAGACATGCAATACACTGCTGTATGTTCACCTGCATTCTGCAACCCTGCAGAACTTATTAGTTCTACAAATATTTATTTTTGATTTCTTAGTATTTTTAAAAATATACGATTGTCTTCCTTTTCAATCTGGATGCCTTTTGTATGTGTATTTTACCTAAATATCAGTAATAGAACCATCAGTACAATGTTCAGTAGAAGTGGTGAGAAGGGACACTCTTACTTTTGTTACTAATTTTAGGGGAAAATCATTTAGTCTTTCTACCTTAAGTATAATGTTGATGTAAGTTTTCATTTTGATACTGAATTGACTTCACATTTGAGAATCTTATGTACATAGCTCTCAAAAACAGTTGTTGATTGGCTCAATAAAATAAAAACTACTCTAGTGTTATAAGTAATAGTCCTTTAGGTATAAATAAGTCAATAGAATCCATATTAATACACTATATTATAATGTATGTAAATGGCCATCACTGATCTAACGATGTGTCACAAACATATTAACAACATATGATAAAATTTGCTTATTTTTAGTGAGAGTGATGGATTTAGTCCCTATTGCAAACAAAAATGTTTTCCTACTTCATATACTGGAATGCTAGATAACTTAAATATACTACCACCTCCTAGGGCTGTTTGTAATATCCTTTGGAGTGCTATAAATATTAATTCATTCCATCTAATATTGATTTATTTATTTTAGTTGCCAACATAAGCAACTCATTTCTGGAATGACAGTCTATGTATAATACATTAAATTTTTTCCCTGTCAATTCTATTGTTTGTTAGAATAGTTGACAAAACTTCCTATTTTCTATAAAAGTCATTACTTAGAATCTCATTGTATACTTTCACTGTACTCACAGATATCCCATAATCCTGTTTTTTCTTTTGTAGTAATTAATACCAGAATATATTTGTCTTAAAATTTATATTTTTATAAAAAGTAGTAAAACACTCAAAATAGCCTACTAAAGGCAATGGAAAAGACAAGTCAAAATTGCTCAGTATTTTCATGATAATCCATTAAGTTGCAAAATTATACTTTAAGAAACATAATATAATAACGGTTCACAGTATATTGCTTTATTTTAATATTTCAGATCCACAATGAAACCCAGTTCAAGAAAGACCAAAAATTCCTGTCTCAAAGTGTAACAGTCCACTTGCCATACAGAAAGAATGGACAGATCTCTCTTTTACATCATTTAGCTCCTTTCCTGTTTCAAGCACAAGATAGTCATAAAAAAAATGTGTGGTAAAAATAGGAAAAGAAGAAAAAATCCTTAACTTCGCCAGTATAAACCACTTTGAGGGTCAAGCCCTTAGGGCAAATGGTACTCTATGATAAAGCAAGAGTGGATAGGCCACTCCATACACAATCTACCGTGGTTAACAAGACATATTCGATGAGCCTTGCAGAGATATCTGAAAGGATTTCTCTCAGGCTTTTAAGAATTTCTTAAAATTGTGTGTGTCTTATTTATAAGCCATTTGTATATGATATGAAAAAAGCAGACATAATTTTTTAAAATTTGGATTACTCTCACTTAAAAGATTTGCTTATATAGCCATTATATGCAGTTATTCTTAAAATTAGAGAACACAAGCTATTAGTTTAGATCATTCTCGTAATTTCCAAATATTGGCTATCTTATCCATAAAGTAGCATTTATCATTTAGACAGAGAAAATTATTTAATTTGACAAGTGGTGTCATAGCAAAGCAACCATTATGATTTCTTTTAAAGGTCTCTTTGGCAGACACCAAGCTAATCTGCATAAAATATGTTGAATTCTACTTATGAAATTTAATGATCATTGTAATAAAATATCATATGTGTTATTAAAAGCTTAGTAGGTAATGTTATCTATTTATTGAAGCATTATTTTAAGGTACAGTTAAAATAATCTTGTGTGCTTGAGCAATATTTATGAAAAGTAGAGAATAAGTTCTTACCAAGTTTGCAATGATATAATGGTAGCCTTTAACATGCTTTCCAACACTTACAATCTGTGAAGATATAAACGAATAAGAGAAAATCAATTTTAATTCACTGAAATATTTTTTAAAAATATTAACTACTTTAGCATAATTCCATGTGGCATCATGATGGGAAAATGTTAAACAAAATAAAAGTCATGTATTCTAGTTAGAAGAATTGATAAGCCATATTCAAAATAAGTGGTAAAAAGTACCACATTTATTTAAATCACATTCTATCACCCTTGTTCAGAAAATTGTTATAACCTCCTTAAAAAGAATGACAATGCTATAAGCCAACGTTTACACATATTTCTCAACAGAATACATCAACATAAAAACTTAAAATGATTTTCATCCAAAGAATTTAGATGTACTTTACTTATTGATAATTTATGAAAATGGAAGATAGGCTGCTCAGTGTCTTCATCATAGGATAAGAATGATCACCTAAGAGTAGATTGAGCAGCAAGCAAGGTTTTTCTAAGGCACAATCTGTGTTTAGACACCTTTGATACCAGAAAGTACTCAGTGAATTCTCACCTGCATTTGAAAGCAGTAATATTTTCTTGTAATTACAAAAAAGAAAAAGAAATCAAAAAGCTTTTCTCTCTGTTTCTCTCCTTTCTTTCTTTCTTTCCTTTTTTTTTTTTTTTTGATAAAGTTTTCGGATATGTTTAGGACATTAGAAACCCAAACATCCTTAAAAAAAAAATACTAGAGATCTTTTAAAAGTTCAATTTTATTTTTGCATTAGAGATTACAACTATCATTCTCTGAAAAACTGAAAATTCCTTCAATATGAAAATCTAACTGCAGTTGCTAATTAGAAGCTTTGTAAGATTGCTGGTGTCGTCAGTGATAACAGTGAAAGCCACGATTTTCATGCAATTTCATTATCAAAGACAAAAATTAAATTATTTTAAGAATTTTAATATCCCATAAAAATAATTCTGTGTAATTGGGTGACTTATATATGAAATATAGGAAAACTCTTAACACCAGAATATATGATAGACATAGAGAGTAGAAGAATAGTTATCAGAGGCTGGGAAGGGTAGTGGGGGTGGGAGGGAGGTGGGAATGGTTAATGGGTACAGAAAAAAAAAGCTAGAAAGGATGAATAAGACATGTTATTTTATTGACTATAGTCAATAATAACAAATTTTACATTAAAAAAATAACTAAAATAGTGTAATTGGATTTTTTATAACACAAAGGATAATGCTCGAGGGGATGGATACCTCATTCTCTATAATGTGATTATTACTCATTGCATGCCTGGATCAAAGCATCTCATGGATCCCATAAATATATATATATATATACACACTACTGTCTACCCACAAAAATAAAAAAATAAAATAAATAAAATCAGAACACATGAATTATGCTGGAAAAGAGTTTTGTGTACATGGCTATTGTGAAATAAAATTTTTACTCATCTTAGGTTCTTGTTTTGATTACATTCAAGACATTTCTGTTTTTAATGTTCTCCAGTTCACTACAAGTTGTTTATATTTTTAATTATTAATTTCTGTTCATATTATTTAGGATTTGTTGTACTTCCTGACTTTGAGGGCTGATTGCCTTTTAACAATCCTGGGAAAGTCACAGCCAATAGCTCTTAAAATAATCCTCCAAAGAAGTTTTCTGTCTGCTTCTAATAGATACTGCAATGCTGGTATTACTGGCCTGGGTCCACTTTTATGATAAGTTCTCAAATTCTAGATTCCCAGACCGGTGTGGTATAAATTCAAAATACAATCTGTCTCAAGAGCAAGGCTGTGATGACAAATTCTCAAGGAAGATATTTTCCTCACCATACTAAGCCTACATCAAGGCAGAAAACACTTAGTTGACTCTGTACAGATGAGAGAATTTTTTCACTTACACCCTTTTATTGAGCTGTTGCCCTACAGTGGTCTGGTTTTATGTATTAACTTGACTGAACCCAAAGCTTCTCTTCTAGAGAATGCATTAAATGCCAAATCAGCCTACCCAGTCTGGCAATTTCCTTCATCACAGCTTCCTGTCATTCTTGGCCCCTGAAGATTTTCTTTACTTTCTTGGAATATTTTACACAAACTTTCTCTTGTTTTATCTCCACAATTTATCTACAATAGAACTTTCCTTGAGAATCTTACCGTGAAGACGAGGACAAGCAACAAATAGATGGGATTGTGGAGAAAGCTCGGTTTATGAAATAGTTGAATTAGATGGCATATTGAGCAATCAAGACCTGAGTGATTTAGCATGGGTGGAGCAGGATGGAGCCATCTTACTCTGTGGGAGTCTCCAGTCTAGCTTTTGCAAAAGATAATTATCAGGGGGATGTTTGATGGTACTCAGGCAGAAAATGGCATATTCTATTATGGAGTCTGCTACAGATTCCTGCTATTTGGCTTCAGCGGGGGTTGTTGCCACTCAGCAATCCATTATTTAACTCTTTCTGATTCACTGACTTTTTCTGGTGTGGCTGTTGAGGTTTTTGCCCTGTCCCCTGTCTCAAAAGCCCCTGTCCCCTCATTTCTTGACACTCTCAGCTTTTGATTTCTTTGTGACTGCAGTCAAAAATTTTTTAGTTTTGTTTTTTAAAAATCCATCTTAAGTGCAAATACTTGTAAATGTTACAAAGATGTGGAATCAATAAAAATTCTGCACTGGGTGTCTCCATAAAGAACTCCTTGTCCATTCAGGATTGTCTACCAAAAAATTATAATAAATTAAAACTTACACTGTGCATTTTCAAAGGGTGAGAACTTATAATATCAGAAGGAGCTGAAAGGGACAAAATTCCTGGCATAAAAGGTCTTGCAGAGCTCCATATGCATCAACATTCTGAAAATTGAAAGCTTGGGGAGTAGGAATCTGGAGATTTATTTACCTGGCTGGTGATGCTAGAGGCATCACTATCTCTGCTGAGCCAGATCCTGGCTGGGGAAAAAAAAAACCAAAACACAAAAAACAAATGTACTGCACAAACACTGTGAAGTTCTCATTGCCTTAGTTTCTTTGTGAAAAAATTCAATGTACAATCCACTGAGTAGTCCCTGTAAACAGGAGGTTATTTTTAAATGATTGTGTAAAACTGACAATGTCATGGTTGTGGTTGTACATGGCTTTCATTATCTCAACAAAGGTGAAGAATATCTTCTGTAAAGAATAAATTTGAGTAAGTTGACTCTGGGTGTAGACCAAACCTTGTATTGCCTATGTAATTTGAAAAAATATAGATAAATAGGGAAAAAAAACAGCTTCAGAGATAGGAATATAAAATAGCACTGTCTTCACACAAGTGTGGCTTGCTTAGTTGTCATGGGAAAACAATGCCTAGGGTGAGTACTTGGTTGCAAAATTATTTTGCAAACAAACAACAGACTTAAACTACAACCTTGTAATATAACAGCAGGACTTCAGTTTCAGGACTGTGATATAAAATGGGGTGGGAAAAACAAAGCACTTCAGACCAAAAGACAAAAAATGTAGAGACAGAGAATCTGCATATTTTGTATTTTTAAAAGAAACAGAGGGTGCAACTAGACTAAAAATAATGATCAAGTGATTATGTTTAGAGTTCTGTAGAATAGGTTAGGAAGGATATCTAAGTTATATCAATTATACACTCTCAACGATGATTAACCTTACCAAAATAAAATGTTTAAGAGAAGTGACTAATTGATTCCTGTAATTACTTTTTTTCTCCTGAGTGTGTGTTTTTGTTTGTTTTATTTTTGTTTGTTTAAGAAGCAGAGCATTGTTTAGGAATACCCATGGTGCTGGTCAAATAATTAACTTCCATAATCAGGCAATCAGGACTATGCATACTAATAAGGTGAATGCCAGGTACAAACACTGCAATTTTTAACTGCATTCTTTTTTTTCTTTTATTGCATTTTAGGTTTGGGGGTACATGTGAAGAACATGAAAGATTGTTGCATAGGTACACACATGGCAGTGTGGTTTGCTGCCTTCCTTCCCCTCACCTGTATCTGTCATTTCTCCCCATGCTACCTCTTCCCAACTGCATTCTTAACAAATTATGGCATAACCAGTCTTCAAGAATGCAACTTCCAAATCCTTAGTCATTGATGGAAGTTGGAGAAAAGTGAATCAGGATACTTTCCCACATCGACTTCACTTTTCAGTCCAATTTAGTTCAACAAATGTCAATGGAGTGCCTCATAGCTATAAGACTAAGGCCAAGAGATTTAAGGATTATAAAGATAAGTCTGTCAGTGCTGCTGTTACAAGGGTGTTTATTATCTCATAAGGGGATGAGACTCAAACAGAAATGGCTACTAAAATATAGAGCAGAATAAGGTGAAGGCAGTGGGTTTCATGAAATTATAACACTTGCTTAAGAGAACAAGGAAGATTTTTACGAATGAATAGACAATAAATAAATATTGATTCAAGGAATGAATAAAGAAGTTAATCAGGATATAAATTCAAAAACACTAATATATTAAGGTCAATTTGAGACTTGAAAATGAAGGATAGTTTGGCCATTAATACACAATCAGATTTTACATTAATCCTTTATGTATCAGTGGTTTATAAAGTACTCAGGGGTCCTTCTATAAAAGTTGCTGTGTATTATTTTTAACTATTACTACCAGGCTGTAATCATTATATTGAACATAGTCTTCCAACTAAAGACATGTAATGGCACACTAAAGTAGAAATAATTTTGGTTTTTCTATTAATTTGTTCTTGTAAGTCAGCTGGAAATTCCTCTTTCAATTTTTATCATATTTCAAAGAATTCAGTGACGGGGGAAAACAGCATAACATATTCAGAGGTGTTAGGGCCATGATACTGGTAAATGTTGTAAACTTACTGTCATGAGGGCAGTCACTTTCACTAGTCCTCTTTTTCTATAGAAATTCCAAACTCCCAAATATTCCCCAAATGTTGATTTTCAAAATGTTTTAAAGTATTTTACTGTAGATAAAATCAAAGGTTTTAGTGTCATTTCAGTTCCATCAAAATAAAAATATAAAGTAAGAGAATTTGCAAACAAACAA